AAGAAGGAAGAGTTAGAAATCGGAACACGAAATAAAAAGTTATTTCCAGATATCTTCATCGATTTAAAAATAAATTCTAGAAAAGAAGTGGAAAGGGAATTAATCATGGAATCTAAGTAAAAATAGTCACATGGAAGGTAATAGATGCGATAGATCGAAATATCGGCGACGCTTAGGAGTAAATATCAGAGAAAAAATATTTTTTGTAATGGAGAATATTCGTCCATATTTCACGAATAACGAGAGGTAACTATTGTCGATAATGATAGGGCACTACATTAAGAAAAAGAATAAAGGGCTTACCAGCAGATTAAGTTTATATCAGCTAAGGCAAAAGTAAAGTTTTTAGATAGTCTCTCGCTGAGAGAAAGATAAAAGCTGTGACAGTTTTTTCAAGGTGGGCGCGGTTCATTATGAGAAAAATTTTTTTGTGAAAAGGCTACGAAAAAGAAAGAACAATAGCTTGGTCATAGTTATGAATAAGGTACTATGAGAAAGATGTGCTCAAATACTTGTCCGCTTTTTTGTTTCTTTATAAAGGAAAAAAAAAGGATAACCGCGTGAAAAAATAAAAAAAATAACCGCGTGAAAAATGAAAAAAAAATGTTTATTTATACAAAGCATGCTTTTTTATTTCCAAATATGTTAATTGAATTCTAAATTTGGTGTATTGGCTTTTGGCTAATAAATTTGCCTACCAACTTTACTGGTAATGATGTAAGCTCCAATGAATTGATTGATGAGTATAACAATAACAAAGAAAATTATTCTCGTGTCATTTCCGATCAATTTTAAATTTTTTAAACATGGGTTGAGATTTATGAAATGCTGTAATTTTATACTATTTAAAATTTCAAAATTTATTTCATTCATTCTATATATTTAAAAGTATTAATTTTTTCAAATACAAAAAGTTTGCGTTTCGACAAAATTGGTAAATTAAATAATGGCTATCCCTGTATTTTATTTTTTGATTTGTATCTATGAAACTGACTGAATCAATCATAATACCCAGTATCTTTATAATATTATTGGACATAACGTCTTCCACACTTTCCTCCAAATGACGCTTTGGATCCTGTTTTCCAACGAGTTTTCAATTGTTCAGGTGTCATGGTTGATTCCTCTTGTACCGATTTATTATAAGCGTCCGCCAATGTAAGCATCATTTTAAATATTTCATAAGCAAATCGAAAAAAAAAATCTTTTTTGAAAGGAAAGGTAAATCTAAATCTTTACATTGACTCTCTTTCCATTGATCACGGTGTGTTCCGTAAAGTTTGGCAGCGTCAATCCATGGGTCCAAATTTTTTTGTGCAAATTGAGCAACATTTTCTGTTCTAATTCATTCTTTCGATAATTAATAGCAATCTAATAATAATGACGATTCAATCCATGGATCAAAGCCTAAGTAAAGATAAATCAAAGATTTAACGAATATAAACTTTAAAATCAAAATAGATTTAAATTAATGATCATACTTGAATACTTGGTTTATTAAGATGTCCAATATTGGAAGTGGTTTGACGTGGCTCTTGACCTAGCATAAGCATTTGAGGATTGATCAGGCGAAAAGCATCAATAACTACTTTGCCTTTGACGGACTATATCGGATCAACAACAACAACAGCCACAGCCCTTTGATTCAATGCCTCAAAACTTTGTTGTGTATTTATATCTACACTAGACAGCCAACATCCAAATCCAGGGTGAGAGTGATACCAGCCAACCACCATTTAGGGTCTATAAAATTCATTAATCGAAATCAGACATGAACCTCAATAATCTCACACACAAAAGAACTTCAATTCATACCATCCAGTTTGCTTTAACATATCCAACAGTTTTGGGATCGACCGCTTCTACTGAAACGCCTGTACCACTTTGAGGCATAGCAAATACATCAATTACATGTACACGAATTCACCAAGCATCAAACCCATAACTACCATAGGTACTTCGGCACGTCCTATCAATAATTTATATATAAATTGATGTTGAATCATACTTGGAAAAATTAAATAAAAACTAACCGTGTTTTAACATCTATCAAATAAAAAATACAAAAAATAAAAATAATTAACGTGATGAATAGTATTTTCTAATCCAGTAATAACCACGCAAAAGCCAGAAATTTTTAAGACTCCGGTAAATGATTGAAGAACATTGTCCATCAAACTTAGAAGAAAGAAACTATTTACAACCATGTTAACCATAAAAATCCTACATTATCCATCACTCTTGTATCCCCCGTATCCCTCTTTTCTATTGGGAAACCCGAAGCCCTACTCAAAGATTCAAGGGATTATTGAATATTTGGGTTACTAGATTCTTGATAGTATGTCGACATTTCCCTCATTACAGAAAATTCTCTGTTTGTAGAGCAACCAATTCTGAATCTTCCTAAATTGGCTGGATTTTCTAACGCTTCAGCTTCTGCATTAGTCATTTCTATCATTTCTTCAGATGATGCTGCTACAACATCTTCTATAGCACCAAGTTCGGCAGTGATTGTACCAGCTTCTGCTGTTTCGAAGAATTCTAATCGCTAAATTTAATAAATATGATATGCCATAATAAATACCAACTAAAACAATGGTAACGGCTACAGCAATTAAAATCATTTTGAGAAAGTTATTTTTAGGCGGTGGTGGGATCAATTCTTTTAGATTATCGGGAGTCATTTTTTCACTTAGTTCACTGAGGGCATCATGGAACCCTCGATGGTGTCTCTCTCAATAATTGAATAGCTTGTTTGCCGAATTAATTGATATGTAGCAACAGGATAATCATCAGGACTGTACGCGCTGCCTGAACCGAATTGAAGAGAGGCAGCGTATGTACCAACTTCATGACCAGTCAAATAATCGATGCATTCAGCTATATGTTCTGTTAGATTAATTGGAAAATTGGGGGCGTCTGGGTGTTTACTTCACTGCAATACTTGGCAGTTAGATCAGGTGGAAATGCATGATCTGGGTTCAGTGTTTTTTGATTATATGTAATTTTAAGGGTTGGAATAAGTTTCATCGTGTTATTTCTTAAATTACATTTGTAGTTGTTAAGGTTTTTTTCGTTAAACGACTAAACCGTAAGATCTGCCCTGTTTATTTTCACCATAAAGCTGAAGTTGCAAATCCCCACATAGTGATATTTACAGTTGTTAATGGTGGCTCATGATTGAAGTTCCCTGACCAAAAGAGATGTCGAATAGTTAGTGCTATCATCGTCTATATGGAACACCGCAAGATTAGAAGGTATGACCTAGTCGCACATCTTAAAATCATGTTCTACGGTGATCCAATCAGCAATAACTACCGATGAAAAATTTATAAGAATGTACAGTATAATAAACCTTTCTTCAGTAAAATAATTTTGAAATAATTTTTTTCCCTTGTCGAAAACTCGAAGACCTTATATAAACTGTTTATAACCCTCGGAAAAAATTACAAGATACCAGGAAAACCAATGCCTTTAAACCATTTCGTTATTTATTCAACATTTAAGAAATCTCTTTTTTTTTCATTCAACATGTCTAAACTACCATTCTAAGTCATTTTATAATATTACTGATCAACAAATCACCTGATTTGTGATTAACTAATTATAGAACTGATCGCTTATTTTGGCAATTTTGGCAAAATTTTAATTTCGTACAATATTAATTATTTCGGCAATTTCGGCAAAATTTCGGCAATTTCGACATACCGAAATTATTTTGGCATTTCGGCATATTTTAATTTCGGAATTTTGGTATTTCCTTCTAGAATTTCGGCAGGCAACTTTAATCATCATCATCTCACCAATTATCATCATCTTCCAAATCATCAGTAAGCCGTGAATTTTTTATAAACCTTCCATTATTATTTCGTTCTTGCTTTTGGATTGAATTTGTCATTTGGAAAGAAGAGTCATAGTTATTATCAATTAGATGCTGTGAAAACTGTTTTAGCACATACGCTAAGACCCATTGATAATAAAGTTTCAATACCTTCTCTTGAAGTCTCACATCCTTTTAAAAAAAGTCCAATTTCAAGTTTAAAATTATTAACAAATTTATTACCCAACCTAGCAAGAAGGTAACAAAATCCATCAGCTGTTTTCTTTCCATTTTCTAATTTTTTTTTTGATCTTCTTTTTGGGATTCAATGCATCTACAAATTCTTTAAAAATCCTTGTAAACGTGGTTCTTGATTTTCAATCAAAGCACAAAAACTTTATGGATCTAATTCTAAAGGAAGAATTTGCTTTCTTTGCATATCATAGAGAACTTTAGTTAAACGCTTTAATTGTTCTCCAAAAATAAATCTAATAAAATATTAATAAATTAATATATATATACTTAGAATAATACTTTTGTAATAAAAGAAATTCTAAAAAATAAATTATAATATAATTATCTTGATTACTTTCTACTTCAGTGTTTGTATTGTTATAAATTATTTAAAGGCAAACTTGAATATTTATTTCGGTCGGGTTCAACAATATTGTTGTAATGCATTTGACAAGTTGGTCACCAACTTAAAAATAGTTATATTAGTAAAAGTACGAAATTTGATAACATTTTTATTACAATTATTTATTTCACAAGGTCCACAATTTGGTAAACGCGGCATTTTTTAAAAATTTCGCGTTACATTAAAACAGAAGTCACATGCTTTATAATTTTGGTGATGATCAGCAACAAATTTCACCAATCACAGTAAATTTTTACAAAAAATTAAGGCGACGTTTAGCAGCCAATCATACAAACTCCCTCATACTGCACAGACATATCATATATATAGTCCTTCGCTTACGCTCCGGACTAATAATCTGAATGTAGAAAAGTATTAATCAGCTTTTTCGCAAGCAAAGTAAATTGTTGAAGATTAAAAAATAATTATTCAAGTGTTAAAAGCATGTTTATGCAATAGTAATCCATAATTACCAAAATTCTTTCTAAATTAGAACAGTCCAAAAATCAAAGGGGATATCATAATAGTTATATCTAGCAAGTATGTGAATTTGCATGTAATGTACATTTTAAGGCTAGAACTGAAATATTCTCAATAATATAAACGTTTTTGAAATCATAATTTACATGTATTTTTACTATCACTAGTACAATGATTTGTTTACCATTTTATTAATTATCAATAATTAGCGTTTTGATCTTAAATCATTTAAGTGTATAATTGAACTAAGAATGTTAAGCAATCCTTAACCGAACCTTACGATTTAAGAGATTACTATCTCTAGAGAAGACTAATCGCTTATCTATAAAAAGATGCCATAAATATTTTATGACTAATTTGTAAAAAGCGAAATGATATTCAACGTTGGCAATTTTGATAGGACCGCTAAGTGTAGGTCCAGTCCTAGGGACCCGGTCCTAAATCCTAAATTTTAAATTTTAGAAAATTCTGGGATTCCAAGAGGGTTTATTATTTATTTTAATTAAGTAGCTCATTAAAACAAGTTTAATAATAAATTTGTAAAAATAATTCTTTGAAATTTTCTTTGGTCTTTAGGACCGCTTATACTATTTAATGATTTTATTATAATGGTCGTTTAGGCGGTTTGCTATTATAGCAAATGATCCATATATACTGGAAATTACAATTAAACTTAATATGATTCGTAAAGTTAGTTAATAGAAATTGCAATTGCCATTCTTCAATGAATTTGTGTTTGTGTAATGAATAAAAAATAATAAATATGCGCGTTCGTAAGAAACCGGTACGAATGACGCAGTAACTTCGGAATAATGAAAATATCGAAATATGAGTTATAAATTTATTAAATTTATATGTTATAATAATTACATATTCAATTTCGTTTTATATTTATTATAATATACATAGTTTTATATTGTTATAATCATTATATTTATTTTATTTATTATTTTTTGTATAATCGTCATTCGTTTTAATCGTTATTTCAATTATTTTTATTTATATTAATATCCTATATGGTTCAATAGTCCAATTTGATGAAAAGTAATATTGACGAGTCTTGGAAATGACTTCCGGAATCTTAAAGTTAAAAAATCAATTTAGATCTGAAATTTGAATATTTTTTTCTTTTTTTTTATGTTTATTTTTTTCGATATTTTTTAAAATTTTCAATTAAATAAGCTTTAATTTAATTTTTATATTTTTATATTTTTTTATTTATTTTTTTAGTATTCATCGATTGATTCTATTTTATTTTTTTTTATGTACTTTCGTATTCATCAATTAATTCTTTTCTTTTTTTTTTTATTTCGTATTCATTGATCAATTCTTTTCTTTTTTTTTTATTTATTTTATTTTATTTTATGGATTAATCTAATTGTAACATGTTACATGTAACAACTATTAGTAGAACCAATAAATCATTTTAATTTGTTTATAATACCAAATATTATTATTTTATTTATTTTAGAAAGTATTAAATTATAAAAAAAAAATAAATAATCGATCGATAAGATGAATGATAATCAAAATGATATCCGAATAGATTTCGAATATCGTAAATCTTTCAATATTCGAATATTAATTAACAAACAAATATTCGAGTTTTAATTTACAAATATTCGGATTATTTTGAAACCTTATTCCGGACAAGATCGACAGTTCCGAGATCGACGGTTACAATTTAAATTTCGATATGAAAATCGTAAGATTAGTTAAAACTTAAAAAAGTTCATAAAAATGCCAAATGGAGAATTTAGTTATGAAAATCGTAAAATTAGAGCTTGACAACATTTTCTTAATTGTTGAATGAAAAAAAAGAGGTTTCTTAAATGTTGAATGAATACCGAAATGGTTTAAAGGCATGTGGTTTCCCTGGTATCTTGTAATTTTTTCCGAGGGTTACAAAAAGTATATATATATAAAAGGTCTTCGAGTTTTCAACAAGGGAAAAAA